ACTGGACACAAGAGGAAAATTTTTCACAATGAGAACAATCAACCATTGGAATAATCTCCCCAGGGAAGTGGTGGATTCCCCAACATTGGACTCTTTTAAGATTCAGCTGGACAGGGTGCTGGGCCATCTTTTTTGGCCAAGAAAGGTTGGACCAGATGATCCTTGAGGTCCCTTCCAACCTGGTATTCTATGATTCTATGATTCTGTGAAGATACTGATGCTCTCCTGGAGCTAAAGCAGTCCATGAATCTTCATCTTTAAGGAGCATTTAAGAAGCAGCCCCCACTCTTTTCCCTCCCTACCCCCATACCCTGCCAAAGCTCTAACAGCTGACTACATTGTTCTTGCCAGCTTTCCTCCTCAGTCCTCAAGTTTATAACTGGAAATGGCAATCATCTCTAAGGCAAAGCCAGACTCCACAAGATGTTGAAGGAGAGAACAGAATTAATGGAAAACCTTTTAAAAGCCTCAAGACTTTAAACTTTGGCAACACTGCTCCATGGGTACCACAAAAAGCCTGAGGAGGAGTTTGTATAAGCAGCATGCAATCTTTGTGTATAACCTTGATTCTCTTTTCCTCCTAGGTCTCCTACTCGTGTTCTTACCCTACTCCAAAATGAGTATCTCACACAGGCTCCTCATCTGCTTCTGAACTCACACAACTGCTCTACTGCTGCAGTAGTACTTAAGACCACTTCCTTTTCTGCAACAGCTGCACAGTTCTTCTTCACATCAATTCTTCCTCCACATCTGTTTGGTAACTGCAGAGCAAGCAGATGAAATCCTGGGGGTACCCTTTTGATTGAGTGAGGCGGTAAGTTTAGCTTCTTCCAAGCTTACCAAACATACCAAGTTGCACATTGTTGTTATTCATGTTGTCAATACCCATCATAAAGATGGGAAAATGGTGGTCAAATGCCTGTATTGGGGAAAAATTAAAGGTACCAAAAATATAAGTAGCTTACTATGAATAGTTTTTGGTTGCCCTTCTGGTGTTTCCAGTTCAGGCTGGAAGTGAACTATTCAGCTAATGCTGACCTTGCCAGACTCTCACTAGCCTTCATTCTCTAGTGTCCTGCATGCCTTGAGTATCACTAGATCCAGTCATCTTTGGCTTCAGTTTCTTAAGTGTACCTCCTTCATACACTTTTCTTGTTATCTTTTCAAGAAAGTGGGTTCCCCTGAACCTGCTCACCACAGACTTCCCTTCCCCCAGCCCAGTAGTTTAGTCTGTATCCTATAAGCACTTCCAATTCACATCTCCAAGGATGTAAGACCATGAAAATAGATCTATTTTTTGAAGGTTTCTAAGGCTAGGTTTCTAAGGACAACTGCTTGTGCTAGACTACAGTTTTCTCATACTCCTCTACACCTGTGTTGCTCTCTGTTGTGTCCTGTTTTAGACTCCTGCTCACTAAGGCAAGGACAGTCTCTTAGTTTGCACCTTGTAATGCAGGTCAGAGACCTGTAAGTCTGGTTCCTTCTTCCCCTTCTCAGTACCTCACAGCAGTGTCCAATGTCTGTCTTAGAAGTAGCTGAATAATGATGATTGTCTTATAGGCAGGTGACTCAGGTGTTACATCCTCCCTTGTCTGACTGTGGTGAAGTGGAGTTTGACTCTTCTCAGCCTCCTTCATAAAGTTGGGGCAATTGTTGTTTTCATCTGCTGCTTTGTTTTTTGACTCAGCCCTCCAACCTGGCCATACTCAATGAAGTTGGCTGTAGGGCTAGAGTCTCACAAACAAACACAATGCACATTCACCTCTGCTGAGCTTTTCTTCAGTCGCCCATCTCTTCAAAGCAGCAAGTCACAGCTTTTCTTTCTGGTAGTCCCCAGTAAGAAATAATTTGGTTTGTTCAGATCGGTCTTGCCTAGACAAAGGCTTTTGCATTTTTTTTTTTTCTTCAATTTTCCAGCTCTCTAGGAACATGAGAACATCTGCACTGGGTCAGATCAAAAATCTACTTAGTCTAGTATCCTATTTCCAGTAGCAGCCATAATGTTGTGGAAGGTCTACTCAGACTGATGGCCCATCCAGCCCAATACTCTCTCCAGCAAAGGCTATAGGAGACACTATTTAGCAAGAGTCTGTGAGCCTGGCCATTATCAATGATCCATTCTCCTCATATTTCCTCAGCCGTCATACTTTTTTAATAGCAGTGTTGAAGATCCATTCCTGCTTATTGCCTTTAGCATCTCTTCATGGTCCATGAGTTTGTCTTTGAACCTACTGATACAGTGTGCCTCCAACAGCTGCCTGTGGTAAGTTTCAGAGATTATCTGTGAATAACCTCCCCCATCTCCAAACTGAAGCCCCAGCTCTGTTAGTGTCTTCTTACAAAGGCACGTGCTTATTCCCTTGATTTTTGCTAAACTTTCTCCAACTCTACTATGCCCTTTCTTGAGATGCAGTGAACAGGACCGTACACAGTACTTAAAATGGTTGTGGTTGTGCAAAGTCTTTACTGGGGCCAAAAGTCTTGTTCCTTCATGATAATTCCCTGCATTTTGTTGGCTAAATGTGCAGCAGCCAGTGAAAGCCAGCTTCAGAGAACTGTCAGTGATGACCCCAAGATCCCTCTTGAGTTATAACTGCAGGTTCCAAGTTCAGCATCATGTACATGTGGATTATTTTCCCCCTAGATGCATAATATATATTTATCTACCCTGAAGCTCATCTGTCCCCACTCCCACCACACAGATACACAGTTTTACAAGGTCCTTGCCATCAGGCTGGCATTTTGCTACTAGAAAGGTTCTCATTACCTTCATGATTTTGGAGATTTCAGTGTTCCTTTTCCAGGGAATTGATGAAGGCATTGAAAAAACCTGATCTCAGCACTTGTGCTTAGGTGAGCCCTTCAGTAGTCCATCCTAAGAAGTCACCATTAAGCTAACCCTTTGCTTTCTATCCTTTAAATCCACAGAAGGAGCTTTCCTTCAAGGCAGGTCAGCATCTTTAAACAGCTTTGACGTGGAACCTTGTAAAAGACTTTTTGAAAATCCAAGTGCATGACGCCAACTGGATCTCCTTTATCCACATGCTTATTGACACCCCCACAGAGGTCCAGCCAGCTGTAGCAGAGGTTTTCCACTACAGAAGCCATGCTGGCTCTTTCCCAGCTGGTTGTGTTCATCCCGTGCTCTGAGATCCTATTTTCTAAAACAGAGTCCCTCTTACCATGGGTGGAAGGGAGGCTCACAAGTCTGTGGTTCCCAGAACCTCCTCTGGGCTGTATTTGTAGATGGGACTTACCCTGGCAGACTGCGTCCATGCCAGTGCAGCATTGCAGCATTGCTGGCCAAGGTATGGGATATGTTGTGCAGCCACATTCCCACCAGACTCCCAAGTGAACATCAACTAGTCCTGGTGACTTGTTAACATTAACTTACTCATTTCATCTAATGCTTACTGTTGGTTTACCTTATATCAAGCTAGCTTCTCCGACCTATCTGCTACGCAGAGTTGGTTGGGAGCAGGCGTCTCCCCACCATCTTCATCAGCAAAAAGAAAAGTGAAGAATTAACTGAGCTTCTCTGCCATGGATTTTTCATTCCTGAATGTCTTTTCACACCTTGGTCGTCCAACCATCTCACAATTCCTAGTGCTTCCTGCCTTTGAGTATTTACATAACTTTTTTTCTGTCAGCATAAGCATCCATTCCAAGGTGCTCCTCAAATTCTTTTTTAGTACTCTTAATTTCCTGTTTACATTTGACCTGACTTGCTTTATGACTATTCTTGTTCTCATTTGAGCATTTCCATTTTTAAGTATTGACTTCCCCTGCTCCAATGGTAACCTACCTGACTTTTCTATTGAGTCTTTTCTATTTTCTATTTCCTATTTTCTTCTATTTTCTACTTCTGTCCAGGGTTTTTATTGATCTCTTTTTCACTTGTGCTATACCATTTACTTGGGGTTTTGATATAGTATCTTTGAACACTCTCCAGGCTCCTGGAAGGCATTTGAATTGGTCTTTATATGTTTGATCAATTCCCTCATTTCGACATAGCGCTCTTACTTGCAATTGAGTAGCTATGGCTTGACTCTACTTGGCTTGCTCTTTCTCACTGTAGTGTTAAACCTAGTAGCATTATGGGTACTATTACAGAGCAGCCCTTCAGCTAGTACGTCATGAACTAGGTCCCACACCCCTTGGGGAGTCTAGGAAAAAGTTCTTAAAGTGCTTCCTCAAACTATTCTGCGTCTCATCCTGATGATCATAGAATCATAGAATAGTTTGGGTTGGAAGGGACCTCTAAAGGTCATCTAGTCCAACCCCCCTGCTGTGGGCAGGGACATCTTCAACTAGATCAGGTTGCTCAGAGCCCCCTCCAACCTGACCT